GGGGGGAATAGTAGGGGATAGGAAAGGTAGCAGAATACAACAATTACTAATAGGGCATTATGTAAAATTGTGGATATGTAACCGATGTGATTCTGCAATCTGCATTTGGGGTAAAATTGGGAGTTCATAACCCACTTCAAACTAATGTATGAAATATGATATGTCAAGAGCTTTGTAATGTTGTGAACAACCAATAAAAAAAGAAAAAAGAAAAAAAATTTTAAAAAATCAAGGAAACTCTGTTATTAAACACAATGACAAAGAAGCACAGATGTAAAGACAAATATTTGTGGATTTTAAAAACTGTTGTTTAAACAGGTTCTCATTTTATACTACGAACCCTTTGGTTGTTAAGAGTGCATTTAAAGTACACATATTCACCATAAACAATTAGAAAAGTGCAATATGGACAGATAGTAAATGACCCTTTTAGAAAATAAATAAATAACATCTGTTAAGCTTTTATGTACATCCAGCACTGTTCTAAACATTTGAAAGGTCATTAGCCCATTTAATCCTCACAGCAACCCTATGAGGTGTATACTAATAAAATTCTTGTTTTACAAATAAGAAATATGAAGTACAGAGAGGTTGAATAATCTACCCATCTAGTAATGATAGAGCTGCAGTTAAGTACCCATGGGTGATTGTTGACCTTACTAGTGACAATAGCTAGCTAAATGTGGTTTAAAAATAATTTTTCAAATTCTTAAAAAAAAATAATTACCAAAAATTTCATTACTCCTTCCAAATTCAAAAATTATATTTCAGGCAAGAAGACCTAGGTCTGGTTTTGTCTGTTATTGTATATGGGGTTGGTTTTGTTGTTGTTGCTGTTGTTGTTTTTGTATTTACTGGTACTGTAATGAGCATGCATTTACTTAGATATAGCCCTGATGATATTTGGAGAAGGGTGATAAATTGAGGGGTAAAATGAGCAACAATGTGTTATATTATACACTTTTGAAGTCAGAAAGCATAAAATTTATCTTACTTTCCTAATATTATAGACAAGAATAATTTCTGGACATACAGATGCTAGTAGGGAAACAACATTAATTAGTGGTTACTATCATGACTATACCATCAGCCATGCTTGGTAATTCTGTCATCTACTACTCCAGAGTGAC